CCTATTCCTAACTGATACGAACCACAGGCAAAAAACCTTACAATAATGAAATACATGATAAATAAAACAGAAGTAAACTTGCTTATAAATGCTAGCAATAATTCATTCAGAATCAAAAAAATACTATTACCCAATACGCTTAATATAATTTTAACACTCTCAGATTTGAAGATTACATTGAGATTTTAATTCTAAAAGATTTAATTCTTTCATTGAATAGTGACATACGTTTATGCAATTTTTACTCCAGGAAGCTATTTTAAATTCGTATATTGTAATATCATTCAAACTTACAAATGTGCTAAATAATCATTTATTATATTTGTATTGTATTATAATAATTTAAACTTACCCTAATTTGAACGCTTAATGCCCAGCTTCTAGTCTGTTCTTTCGGTGTCAATCCAAGTGTAATATAATAATAAATTTATTTGACATATAAATGAATACAGCATCAGAGGGGAAGATAAAACAAGATTCCTTTTAGCTCAAAACATCTAATTTCTTTAACAACTCCAAAAACTTTGAATAAGAATTACCGGACAACATTCTTATGTACTCCCCGTACATGTTAATGTTATTTCCACATTTACAGAACATGAGTTAACACCAGTGGCTATAGCTACATAATTGATTACAAATTATACACACCAAAGAACCACTTTTCGACATAACACAATTCAACCTCAACCTTGCTATTTGTTTTTCGCCCCAATAGAGAGTCCACCATCCCTTAGATAGTCTGCCATGCCAAAATCAATTTTGCCTTACCATAATAGCTAACAACCCAGAACCGCCGAAATGTATTTATAAGATTTGATGCCACTTCCTTCGAAAGCCTAAATTTTAGGCTTTCGAAGGAAGTGGCATCAAATCTTATAAATACATTTCGGCGGTTCTGGGTTGTTAGCTATTATGGTAAGGCAAAATTGATTTTGGCATGGCAGACTATCTAAGGGATGGTGGACTCTCTATTGGGGCGAAAAACAAATAGCAAGGTTGAGGTTGAATTGTGTTATGTCAAAAAGTGGTTCTTTGGTGTGTATAATTTGTAATCAATTATGTAGCTATAGCCACTGGTGTTAACTCATGTTCTGTAAATGTGGAAATAACATTAACATGTACGGGGAGTACATAAGAATGTTGTCCGGTAATTCTTATTCAAAGTTTTTGGAGTTGTTAAAGAAATTAGATGTTTTGAGCTAAAAGGAATCTTGTTTTATCTTCCCCTCTGATGCTGTATTCATTTATATGTCAAATAAATTTATTATTATATTACACTTGGATTGACACCGAAAGAACAGACTAGAAGCTGGGCATTAAGCGTTCAAATTAGGGTAAGTTTAAATTATTATAATACAATACAAATATAATAAATGATTATTTAGCACATTTGTAAGTTTGAATGATATTACAATATACGAATTTAAAATAGCTTCCTGGAGTAAAAATTGCATAAACGTATGTCACTATTCAATGAAAGAATTAAATCTTTTAGAATTAAAATCTCAATGTAATCTTCAAATCTGAGAGTGTTAAAATTATATTAAGCGTATTGGGTAATAGTATTTTTTGATTCTGAATGAATTATTGCTAGCATTTATAAGCAAGTTTACTTCTGTTTTATTTATCATGTATTTCATTATTGTAAGGTTTTTTGCCTGTGGTTCGTATCAGTTAGGAATAGGCCAAGATTTTACTCTAAGTATAGGCCAGAAATCAGTACGTCGGACGATTAGAAGTGTTTCAAATGCTATAAGGACTAATTTATTGAAGGATTGGATTAGAATTCCATTCAACATACAAGATGATGCACGATTGAAACAGCAGTAAGTGAATTAACATTCTTAAAATTCTTCGTTTTAGATTTTATGAAAAATACTCTTTCCTCGGTGTAATAGGGACAATTGATTGTTGTCACGTAGCAATCGCATTACCACTTGTAGAGGATATCAATTATCCAGAATATATATATGTTAACAGAAAAGGATATCACTCACTCTCTTAATGTGCAATTGGCAAATGTTGCATTACTTATCTATGAAAATATATCTAACAATTACAAAGTTACTTTCGATATTTCTTGTGTTTTTAGGTTGAAGTAATACAGTCGTCCCCCTATAACGTGCGTTCCTATAACGGAAATTCCTATAACGTAGTGAAAAAATTGCAGAAACATTCGTTTGAAGGAGCTCCTAAAACGTCGTTTGCCGACTCGTTTCGCGACAAGATTGATAGAATCTGGACCAATAGTGGATGAGCAGCCGAACTACTTTCCTCCGCCCTGCGCCACGCACGTGCGGCTAGAGATCCAGATGGCACAACGCGTTGATTGGTCAGCTGAATGACGTCAACCCACCGAAATAGGAATTGCTGGACGATTATATTTTGTGGTCGTCAAAACGAAGTCACGCAGAAATAGATTATTTTTTTAGTTGTAATATTGAGTGAGTATAAAGTGAAAATACAGTATAAAGTTTTGCTCGCATGTTTTCTTAAATTTGTAGGAATAATTTTAAAATGGTTTACTTTTACTTAATAAATTACTACGATTATGTATTTTTTTTGAACGAATTTTAACTTCATACTTGATCTTTATGTACAGTACCTCTGAACCAAATCATACACAATAGATAATTTTAATAGTGCGATTAGTGTTTTAAATTTACGTGCACAGATAATAAATAACAGAAAATTTATACTTTGTTACAGATATTATTCATAAAAAGATCGAGAAAGGATGAAATTTATAATTAATTAAGATAAGTCAGAATATTCTTTGAATTTGTCGCACGGATTTAATATAGTAAAGACGAAACAATAAAATTAACTAAGTTTTGTATACCTCCGAAAGAGAAATTTTCACAAATCTTGCTTAACAAATTATAAAGTTTAAAGGTAAAAGTTGTCGAACGATTTTAAATAAAGAATATTCTCCATAGATTAAAAAATCTGATAAGAATAATGTTTTAGTTAGAATCGACAGTTCTTTCCGTCGATAGACATTTTGCGCTTTCGAATGTCGGTTCAAAATCTGCGCGTTAACAAACAATACTTTTCAAATTTACAGAAATTTCGTGTATCCATTTCCATAATACATATATCTGTTAATATGTTTAATCAAATTCGTATAACCATTTTTCAAATTAAAAGTATCGAATTCTTGTATAAATTATTTAACAATGAATAATACTGTAAGTATTTAAATTCCTTTGAATATAATAGTTATGTATGTTTTAAATAAGAATTTCCATACATTTCATCGTGGAAATTGTTTATCGATATGTGTCAGGAAAAAGTAATGTTACATTTGTACCGTAATGTTTTCATAGTAAACTATTTTTTTAATCCTTTTTATTTTTTGTTAAAATAATATTACCATACTAATGAATAACTATTTCTAGATGCCTCGTACGTGCTGTATACCCGGTTGCGTAGAAAAATATATATCCAGTGTCTATATTTAAGGTTCCACAGGATTTGATTCGAAAAGCAAACCAATGGATTATAGAATTTGTAGAAAAATAACTTATTATTTAAAATGTTTTAACAATTATGCATNTTTGGAAATGTTGAGTGGAATTAGTCTAGAATCGGTTAATTTTATAGAAGAAAACCTTTCAAACAGCCTTAGTCCGTAAACTTCCCACCTATCGGGCTGTGATTGGCTCATGTATTTAATTATTCCTACAACGTAAAATTCAATTAACGTGGGACGTATCTAAGCGTTATAGGGGGGTCTACTGTAATTCATTGCTGAAAATGAATTACACTAAGAGCATTATAAAATTAACTGTTTAATTGGACCCATATATGGAATAGGAAATGAACCAACAATTCGTAATCATCTTTCAAGAAAATATTGGTTGATTTCTTATTGCATATGCGGATCCAATATTGGTATGAATTCAACTTTATGATACACCAACAACACATAATTTTATTCAATATACTTTTTGAGATATGTGATGAGAACATGTATATAATGAATGTAAATGCTGGTTTTCCTGGTAGTGTACTGTACGTGATGCATTTATATAGAAGATGGCATAATAGCTCCAACGCACGCATTTCATTTTGCAACTAATTCTCTCCACAAATCCAATTGTCTTTTTCTTGTAAATTCGCTATTCATTTTCTTATTGTTTTCTATATATGTAACTAATATTTCTTTTTATTCTTTGCTTCTTTTTTAATAAAACATTAGCTATTTCCATTTTGTTTCTCAGTACTACTGTATATCGCTATACGACAAAACTAATTGTAACACGTGTAAACTAATTCACGTTGATCTGTTTATATTCATTACAGTTATAGTTCATTATAATTAAGTCGATTGGTCGAATCATTATAGTGGCAAACGCAGATGATTTGTCAATAGTCCCATCGTGCTTAACGGCACCGAGTGAATATGACTTACTTCCGCTCGATGGGTGTAACTGGAGACTAGCAATTATATGAGTTATTGTAACACAAGTGAGTTCGATGACGTCAATTCGAGTACAAGACGAAAAACTGGAGACTAAGGGATGCCCCGAAGTAGAGGCCGACACCGGCTCGTCCGGGAAAGTTTTTCCTTTCTTGGAAAAGAAACAATTGCTTTTGATGTATTCACGCGCCGGCAAAACGTCACTAAAGACGCGTGCGTGTGGGTCCGCCCGCCCCCGACCCCGGCCTATGCTTCTTCGACTCTTTTTACTTTGGCAGCCGTTATATAACTTATAACACGGGCAGACTTTTATATTTTTCCACTCGGAGAATCCTAAAACGTCGAGAAACGCCAAAAAAAATTCCGGCCAATTTCTGCATGGAATTAGTGTGCGTGAGCGCGTGAAAAGATTTTACCGGATATCGGCACAGGAGACGCGTACAAATCCGGTCTCCGTCCAGAAGTTAAGCTTTTTGCCGGTTTAAAATAATTTGTAATATAAAATGTTTTTAAAACAAGACAGCGCCGAGAAAAAAAAAAATGTAAAGTCTGGAAAAAGGAGGAATTAAGCGGGCAATAAAGGAGAGGAATTTGTGGAGGAAAGAAAGGTACTCACCAATGCCAAGCTGCTGACCAATATCATAAAAATGATCAAGGATTCGAAGTATTTGTTTTCCACCAGTCGATAGCTCTTGGCGCGCAGAGTGGTGTATCTAGTCCAGAATTTGGATTCTTCGTTTCCAGCGCAGAACGGAAAGCGTTGGTAACATTTCTCGGGAAAACAGTCGGCCGGATATTCGGAAATGATGACTTCCGATGCTTCGCTTTCTACGTTAGTTTTATCCACTTCTACTTCTTGGTTGAGCACTTCCAGGTCTCCGACGACTTCTCCTGCACCGAAAACAACCAGAAACAAAAGCTTTTTGCATCACTTAACCCGCCATTATCGGACCGAAGACCGCTTTGGTCTTTCCGCCCCATCCCACGCCTCCCGCCTTTACCTACGTCGCGGGGCAAACTGGCCCGAATAAAGTATTTAGACAAGGAATGTCAGGAAAAGTTCGGTGGAGTTGACTTGTCTTATTTGTCGCTGCCGAAGTCGTTGGCCGCTCATACCGGTTAGGCCACCGTGTGAAAGAAGAATAGGACCGACCCGCATTATAAATCCCATTTTCGGCAACCTGCCACAGACTCTTTCCTTCTTCGAACGGAAAGACCATTCAGCCAGCAGCAAAAAGAAATTGCACCTCCGCCCGCCCATTTTTACCGGACCAACCCGAGTAAGAGTTTCGGTCGCCGGGACCAGAAACGTTTCCCAAGCTTCCTTCCAATCCTTCGATTTCGACGAATGCCCTTTTCCACCGGGTGAAAAACGAAAGCGGGCATAAAACACGCATCTGTACCTGAGCAGAAAAGATTTTTAAGCCCGGCGTAGGTGTACATACGTGGTGGGTTTAGACGCGGGAATAGATGTTGGGAGGGAAATGTGGCCAAGGAAAAAAGCTAAAAGCGTAAAATAAAATAAAAGAAGAAAGGAATAAGAACCTGGTTGGAGGTCGTCTTTGCTGGCGTCTTTCTTCTCTTCCTGGGAGGCTTCTGGCAGTGAAATTCGACTTTCCTCTTTGGACGGTTTGTTGAAAGAAATCTCTTTTTCGTCGTTGGCCTTCAGTTCCTTGACGTTGTCGGTCGACTCGTAGCCCGCTTCCTCCTCCTCCTTGCGACTGCACGTCTTTTTTCCGTACACTTCGTCCTAAGGCACCAAACGTTTCCCTTTAATTTCTCCCCTTTTTTAATTTCCACCGACTTTACGGCCGGGAGGACCGCCCGCCTTCCTCTCCGGCTTACGCCTCGTTAAGCTACTTAAATCCGCCCCTTTTGTCGGAGGGGCCGTCCCCACCCGTCCGGCATCGGCCCGGTAGGTCGGGCCGTAGTGTGCGAGTACAAATTACGTGGTAACCTATACGGATGATGCCACTTCTAATTGTTTACAATGGATTATTTATGGCTATAAAACGCAATTCCCTTCAGTCCTCCTTATGTGGTAATCCCTGGGACCAACACGGGCCGTATTTTATTGGCCTTATCGGGGAAGAAGTGCCAATCTCGAGTGGACGCCTTTCGACGGAATGGAACTTTTAAAAACGTGGCGGCCTTAATATTTGAAACAAAGCGTCGACAGTGTAAAGACAGGCGAGTGAAACGATAATGGAATCACCGTCGGTGTCTTTCGGAAAAGGCTCTCTGCCGCGGTCTGGCGGGACTTGGGTGTATTTCCAGGGAAACGTATAAAACGCCACCGTTACCTATTCGGCGTCTTCTATTAGTGCCGAGTCGTCCGAGGGTGGCCAGCGGTCTGCCCTATACGGAGGTAGTGCAACTGTTTGATGCCACGTTCGTAAAATGTGCAAATTAGACCGACAGCCACTGGTCTGGAGGAAAAACGCAGCCCGCCCAATTTCGCCCCGAGGCCACACCGCATTTACTCCACCAGCCCAACGAAGCGCCGGTCCACCGGACGATGCCGATGTGGCGCGATTTATGCCGTGGCAAGTGAGGCGGCTGGAAAATTTCCCCACCCGCCTTACTTGCCACGACGTAAAACCGACCCACTGTTGCCGAAAGAAAGAAAATTACCAAATTTTCCGGTTAACAGTTAAAAGAACGGTTTGCCGCATTCCGCAACCGCCGATATTAATAATTAGAAGAGAACGGGGCTCTCTGATGACCCACCGACCCCTTTTCCTACTCCGAGTGGACCCCAAACAACAGAAAATTCTCGATTCTGTAAATATAAAATAAAGTAACCAACGACATTTGTCCGTTAATTTTTTGTTTTCCTCGAATGCATGTTTCGAAGCGCCGATCCGACGTCCACGGCCGTTTTTTTATAGCTTGGTCTTGCCCCTTTTTCGTAGTCTGCCGGCGCCGCTCGAGGAGAACATTTTTACTTTCCCATGCCGGACCAGTCGGTACCTTTATTTATTCTTACTTTATATTGTTATTTATTTATTAGAATTTAAAACCTGTCCCGCTTAAGTGGTTTCGGAAGAGAAAACTGCAGAAAGAAATACAGATATAACATTTGTGTTATCGTCCTAACTATTTATTAATTTTCGTTGCCATTCGACCTTAATCGTTGGACACGCGCCATAAGCACCGCGTGCTTGTACGAAAGCGCGCCATAAGCACCATCGTACTTTCGTACGATAAGTACGAAAGCAATAAAATTTATTGCTTTCGTACGATAAGTGCACCGCAGTCAGGGGATTGGCGCGGGGCTGCATAAAAATACCTGCATAACCTATTATGTATATTCGTTTCCGGAGCGGGTCTAATAAAATATACGGCAAAAGTGGCGTAAACAGGAATGGCACGGCACATTTTCGTTTTTAACGTTTGAAAAACTTTATCCGTTTAGGCCGGTTTCGGGTTTTACCGTAATTTAGACAAATATTCTAACTTTATGACCTGGCGCATTCCTTCGAATTATTATCCCATGCCAATAAACCGTATTTACGTGTAGGAAAAAAGAAAACGTACCTTTTCCTTGTTATCTTTCTCTTTGAGTTTTTCCTTTTCCTTCAGTTCCACTTTCGTGGCTACGTGCGCTGAATTTATCAGCGTCTTAGTGTTGTTGGCCATTTTTATGGGTATGGCTTGTCCGTTTCCTTTAAAAAACAAAGCTACCGGTTACGCTGGTAATAAACACGAGACGTAAAAAGAAATTTCAAATATAAATGCCGCGTCAAAATTATACAATTGCCGAGACGGTGCCGCGGGTCGATAATTTTTACCCATAGAACAGGAGGACGTTTTCCGTTGCCCATCCCGTATTCCACGCCTCCGACCTTACTTTCACCCGGCACCGGCGGACGTAAGTCAAACATATTCCCGGAGCCCGCCTTTTCCATATCGATAATAACCAACGATTTGCTTTAAATTAGAAAAATTATTTACCGTTACCGGATCATCGCATAGACAAATGTCTAGGGCCCGTTTAAACTGTATTTGTAAATAAGATAGTTTACTTTTCTGTTGGCCAACTATATATAATAAACAAATAAACAAAATTATATTGCTTTCTATATAGTTATTGCGAATTCTAAAATCTAAAGAAAATGTCTTCTTATGTTTCTTCGTATTGAAAGTAAAAACTCCTAATAATTTCGATTTTTTTTAAAGCGATAAAAATAATAACAACTATATCTACACGTATTCTTAACATCCTGCGAAGTATTGTCGAATAATTTTGCTTTATTTTTTATTAAGCAGCTGCAGTGTCCGTATGCGATTTAATAGAAATAATATTAACAAGATTTATTAATTGAAAAAGCAGGGAGGGAGCTCGGTAAGAAGTAAATGTCTAGGGCCCAAAGTGGCTTCATCCGGCCCTACGTAGACAGTTTCCTTTTACTTTTCCTTGTTACGTGTATACGTAACCGGGGAAACAATTTGAATCGCGTTAAATTCGACCCTCCCAGGTTTTTTTTGCAAATATTCACGTTTTGACACCTCCCGAACCCAATAAACGTGAAAAAATTACGTGAATATGTATATATGTGTGCATTAATAGTATGAGTAATAATATAAAATCCAAGCAACGAGTTACGTAACTTTCCCGGCTGTTAAAAAATAAGTTTTGCAGTATTGTAATACCTCGAACTTACGCGATAGATGGGACCGCGTAAGTCGGGGTATAATTTCGTAATTTGTGTAAAATCCAAGTCGGATGTATGTAAGCTAATAAATGTTTTCGTTAATCTTATCTCGTCTTTTGATTCGTTCACGGTTACTAGAAATCATCGCATAGAGTCTCTCGAGTCTCCGTAGAAATAACAAACACAGAAATAAATAACACAAAATAAATTGTAGCTATGTGTCGATTCCGCGCGATACGTTCGAACACGTAAGCCGAACAATAGTATGGGAGAAGTGAGTAATCGAAAGTTGCGTGGCGCTCAAACAAAAGACGAATCTACGAGATTTGAAAATCGCATAATTCCGGGATCACGTAAGTCGAGGTACTACTGTATATTTTTAATTATTATAAAATTGTGCGTGGAAATCTGTTAGGAGATTTTCTTGTTAAAATATTTTATACTAGCAGGTAAGCCCGGCATTGTCGGGACAAAAAACAAACAAACATTAAGATTATTTCGTACTTCTAACCCTTCTATTATATTATATTACAGTATTTGATTTATATAACTACTAAGATTACCTTAGGTAAGGGTTTGTAACAGCGAATAACCAATGAAACGCATTTTAAAAATTCTTTAAATTGTGTACCCCTACAGTAGAGGAATAAAGAATTTTTATAATGCCTTTCATTGGCCACTGGCTATTACAAACCCTCACCTAAGATAATCTTAGTAGTTATATAAATCAAATACTGTAATATAACAAACATTAAAACGAAAACTATATAAAGAGTAAACTGTACCATTCGCAGCGGAATATCGAACGGTAATCTGTCGACCAATCAAATTTCGCGAAAAACCAACCAAATATTTAATCTCGGCATCAAGGAAAACTGATTAAAACTTATTTTGTGTTTGCCGGTAACCTTATATTATGTAATTTTCCTATCCGAATGCCACCGTAGCGGTGGTCCGATAGAAAGAAGCGACTGTTGAGGAAAGGGGTCGAAGTAATTCGACAAAAGTAGTCGTTGACTTCCTCCAGAAGAGAAAATGGTCAACGACGATTAATTAATACCGGTGTACTTTTAATATTTGATATGTGCGATCCGTGTTGGATGGGTTACGATGGTTCCGCACGTGATAGAAGTTGCTAACCTTAATGTCCGAGGCTTTGTATGACTTATTTAAATAAACAAAATCTTGTAGAAATGCTAGAACAATTCCTTTTATGCGATGATAAAATGTTTAAAATTTTAGCAACAGATTGTATAAACCAGGGGTGCTCAGACTTTTTGCTGTACGAGCCCTACCTGAAAATAATGGGAGCCGCACCTAAGTTATTGGTAAAAAATATAAAATAAAAATAAACATTCAAAATCATAATGTATTTATTTTGTTGTTTTTACTTATTTATTTACTCTTCGCTAGTTAAAGTTTAATGAATTTTTGATAATTAGAAATTCTTTTAGATGTTGGATGGTTAACTGTGAATGGGACTTGGATTTAATCGACTTCACCGTTGAGTACAACGATTCGACTGCCTAACTGAATTTTTTAAAAACACAAGTTCACTGTGTTCAAGTTCAATTTTCTGTGGGTCAGGTTTAGTATTATTTTTCATATGACTTACTTTCTTATCTACGAGGGCTGTTCAAAAAGTATCGGACCTTTGGTCGGCAAAAATACATTTATTGATTTTGAGGTACAAAACCCTAATCCACTTCAAAGTAGTCTCCTTGGTAGTGTATACACTTCTCCTAGAGTTCCTGTCATTGCTGGAAACATTGCTGGAACGCATCTTTTGGAATGGCCATCAGCCGGTCCGTCGCATTCCGCACGATGTCTTCTCTCGACTAAAATCGGGTTCCTTTTAGCGGCATTTTCAGCTCGGGAAGTAGCCAAAGGTCACACAGAGCCATGTGGGGAGAGTACGGAGCGTGACGAACCACAGGAGTGTTGTGTTTGGCGACGAAAGCCCGAATCAGATGGGCAGAATGGGCGGATGCGTTATCGCGATGGAGCTGCCAAGTTTTGATCGACCACAGATCCGGTCGTTTGCGTCGCACAGCATCGCAAAGACGACGAAGGACCTCCTGGTAGTACTCCTTTGCGATGGTTTGGCCTCGTGGTGCGTTCTCACGATACACCACCCCACGAGTCGAAAAAACTGTCAACACGACCTTGATATTGCTGCGGACCTGCAACGCTTTTTTTGGCCTCGAGGATCGTCCCCGAAAGCCTGCTGAATCTTGCGAATGGTTTACGCTTGGGTATCGCCAAGATTTTTGGCAAAATTTGATGTAATATCGCTGCTCACGTTGTTCAGTCATTTTCCAACTTAGTGGAATCCGACGAGAGCTCGCTACATGTCCTCACTCATAGGCCGACTGCCAACGACTGACGCTTCCTGCAGGCGGGAAAAAATTCAGGGCTGTGCATGACTGTCCCCTCCACAACTCCACCGAAAGAGGCCTCCCGTGAATCATTGGTTTACGCGGAAAGAATAAAAGTCCGATACTTTTTGAACAGACCTCGTATACTATTATTATAAAGAGGTAATGTTTGTTAAGTAAGTTTGTATGTAGCGGTAATCTGCGAAAGTACTCATCCGATGTCAAAAATTCTTTCACCGATATTTAGAATGGAACTTCGGGGTGGACGTAGGCCGTATATTATTCCGTTAAACATTCGTATAAATTAAAAGATGTCATCTAGGTTAAGGCTTTTATGTCCAATGGATGGCGATACGAGTTCGGCGCCCTAAGTTCGCGAGGACGAACTAAAGCGTCCCTTTTCTGCGAGGACGAACTAAAGCGGATCGTTTTCTATCCATATAAATAAAAATGTAACATTCGTTCGTTCCTACCGATTCCATTGAAGTTTTCACACAACGCCGCATTCGAATACGCGCGTTTTTATATAATATACGCGTCGAAATCCTCCCCACTGTAGGGAGATGGTTAGGATTAAGGCTTACTGTAAAGAAGTCCGCTTCTATTTATACTATTTTAGATGCGGTTTTTTGCGTTTTTGATCGCGTTTTAATAGGGTAGTCGAGAGAATGTAGGGGAAATACGTACAAAATGACATAGGCACCATAATTTGAATTTGGCGGTCTCAAGCGCACAACTGATCACGACACCACGTTATACGAGCGGCTTTTATTAACCTGTCAAAATGTGAACGCACTCCTCTCATTGGCCCGGGTGTCATGGCCGACAACAAAAAATGATACGTTATGAGTTTTTTTCCTGGCAACAAGTTTTTTACATAGATGGTAAGTTTTTCACTATTTTATCTACTTGTGTAGCATTTATTTCAATCCTCAAGAATTTGTTGTTGCACTTAAATAACTTTTTCCATTAAAAATAACATCTTTGTATTTATTTTATAATTTTGTTTTTTTATAACGTTATATGGACAAAACGACATACATAGACAACGGACATAATGACATACCTGTCATTTAGTCCATAAGAGCTTAGTCAAGGAGCTTACCTTAATCTCGTAACGTTTTATTAATTATAAAAAATGGCTTCCAAACGAAGTCTTTCATTATTGTTTAAAAGAAATTTTAGTATAAAACTTTATTTCCTTTCTTACATATTATTTACAAACTTATTATCTTTCACATAACAAAAAACTTGCAACGAATCACGTGATTCGACAAACCTCTTTAGTTTTAACTTCTACTCCTAATA